ATCAAAATCGTGCTTGGCGACTTCAATGCCAAGGTGGGCAAAGAAGGGATCTTTGGAACCACCGTCGGAAAATTCAGCCTCCACGACGAAACGTCCGACAACGGATTGAGGCTGATCGACTTCGCCGGGGCCCGAAACATGGTAGTATGCAGTACTAGGTTCAAGCATAAAAAGATCCATCAAGCTACCTGGCTGTCTCCGGATCGAAAAACGAGAAACCAAATCGATCATGTTGTGATAGACGGAAGGCACGCTTCCAGTGTTTTAGACGTACGCACACTCCGAGGCCCAAACATCGACTCGGACCACTATCTTGTTGCAGCCAAGATACGCACCCGCCTCTGTGCAGCAAAAAATGTGCGCCCAAATATGCAAGGAAAGCTTAACGTCGAAAAGCTGCAATCACAACAGACAGCCAGCGCTTTCGCTACTCGACTCTCACACCTGCTCTCAGAGAGCACTCTTCAACAAACCGACATATGCGAGCAGTGGAACCACATTTCCCGCTCATTAAGTACCGCCGCCGAAGAAGTAGTCGGATTTCAGCGAGCCCGAAAGAACTACTGGTACGATGAGGAGTGTCAGGAAGCTGCAGAGAAAAAAGATGCTGCCTACAGGGCCACGCTGCGATCGGGCGCAACGCGCGCTATGTGGGACCGCTATAGGGATCTGAAGAGGGAAGCGAGACGTATTTGCCGCAACAAGAAGAGAGAGGCAGAAATACGTGAGTGCGAAGAGCTTGAAATGCTGGCCGACAGGAGGAATGCCCGAAAATTTTACCAGAGAGTTAGGCGACTTACGGAAGGTTTAAAGACCGGGGCGCACTCCTGTAAGAACAATAATGGCGACCTAGTAACTGATGTCCAGAGCGTACTTAAATTATGGAGGGAACACTTTTCCGCCCTACTAAATGGTAGCAGCACGGAAAGTTGTGGAGAAGAAGAACCCGAGCCTGCAGTCGATGATGACGGAGTCGACGTTCCACCGCCTGACTATGACGAGGTACGTATAGCAATAACGCGGCTGAAAAACAACAAAGCCGCTGGAGCTGACAGCCTGCCAGCTGAGCTATTCAAGTACGGCGGCGAGGAGTTGATAAGGTGCATGCATCAACTCTTGTGCAGAATATGGTCAGATGAACGCATGCCCGACGACTGGAATTTAAGTGTGCTCTGCCCAATCCACAAGAAAGGTGACCCCGCCATTCGCGCCAACTACCGCGGGATCAGCCTTCTAAGCATAGGTTACAAGGTCTTATCGAGCGTATTGTGCGAAAGACTGAAGCCCACCGTCAATGAACTGATTGGGCCTTATCAGTGTGGCTTTAGACCTGGCAAATCCACCATAGACCAGGTATTCACAATACGCCAAATCTTGGAAAAGACCCGCGAGAAAAGGATCGACACTCACCACCTATTTGTCGACTTTAAAGCCGCTTTTGACAGCACTAAAAGGAGTTGCCTATACGCCGCTATGTCTGAATTTGGCATCCCCTCAAAACTCATACGGCTGTGTAAAATGACGTTGAGCAATACCACCAGCTCCGTCAGAATTGGAAAAGACCTCTCCGAGCCGTTCGCCACAAAACGGGGTTTCAGACAGGGCGACTCCCTTTCATGTGACTTCTTTAATCTGATGTTGGAGAAGATAATAAGAGCTGCAGAACTGAACCGCTCAGGAACAATTTACTACAAGAGCGTGCAATTGCTGGCTTATGCCGATGACATCGACATCATCGGTAACAAAAACCGCGAAGTCTGTTCTGCCTTTTCCAAGTTGGATAGGGAAGCAAAGCGCATGGGTCTGGTGGTAAACGAGGACAAGACGAAGTATCTCCTGTCATCAAACAAACAGTCAGCACATTCGCGCCTTGGCTCCCACGTCACTGTTGACAGTTACAATTTCGAGAAAGTAGAGAATTTCGTTTACTTGGGAACCAGCATTAACACCGATAATAATGTCAGCATTGAAATCCAACGTAGAATCACTCTTGCCAACAAGTGCTACTTTGGACTGAGTAGGCAATTCAGGAGTAAAGTCCTCTCTCGACGTACGAAAACCACGCTCTATAAGTCACTCATCATGCCCGTGCTGGTATATGGCGCAGAAGCATGGACAATGACAACATCCGATGAGGCGGCTCTTGGGGTGTTTGAGAGAAAGATTTTGCGGAAGATTTACGGTCCTTTACGCGTTGGCGACGGCGAGTACCGCAGACGATGGAACGATGAGCTGTATGAGCTTTACAACGATATGGACATAGTGCAGCGAATTAAAATACAGCGGCTCCGCTGGCTTGGTCATGTCGTTCGAATGGACACCGACGCTCCAGCTCTGAAAGTATTCAACTCGGAACCCGCTGGTGGTAGCAGAGGAAGAGGGAGACCCCCACTGCGATGGAAAGATCAGGTGGAGAAGGACTTGGCTTCACTTGGCGTTTCCAATTGGCGTCAGTTGGCACAGAGGAGAAACGACTGGCGTGCTTTGCTGAACTCGGCCAAAATCGCTTAGGCGGTTACAGCGCCAAAAAAGAAGAAGAAGAAGAAGCAATACAATCAAAATTTTAAATTTATTTTTTCTATTAAAAACGGACCGAAACGTCTTTGAAATTCCTTAAAAGCGGAGGCTGTTTTCTTATACCGCATCTTGGTTTGATATATGTATGTACGTTCGTACTTGCACTTTAGACACTTGCCTTCCCAGTAGATAATTTCAGGAGTTAAAAGCCCTTCCGAAAGGCCTTCCTGAGAGTCAAGAAGCCTTACACTCTGCATTCCTTTCTCCTTTCTATTTTGTATGGAGTGGCACAAACTACCGGCTTCTTCTTTCGTTAGCCATGGAAGGCCTTCCTAGAAAAGCTTTTATATGACATACTTCACAAGGCATTTTGGAGGAGTTCTTTTAAAGTAGCTTCTTTAATTTATAAAAATTACACATCTTTGAAGAATTTGCTTAAGGTTTATATCAAATATGTGTTATTGCAACTAAAAATGTTTATTGAAATTCATTTGTAGTGCTAGTTTTAGAAACATAAACAGCTTTGTAATTGAAAATTTAAACTTACATATACGCATACTTTGTTATATATTAAAAATACCTATCTGTACTTTTAAGTCGCAAGACTGTAACAAATAAATAAATAAATAAATATTATAAATTTATGCATTCGAGTAAATTGTAAATGGATGAGCCCTTCTAGAAGGTATTCAAGGAAGCCCTTTTCTCAGACCCTCTTGGATAGGCCTCTTAGAATAGCTTTACTTAAAAAGGCCTACATAAATTATCTTCTGGTTTGTTGCGAAAGTTCCCTTCTTCACGCCTTAACCGTCTCCAATGGGGACCAAATGGCAAAAAGCCATTGATTGGCTATAAAAATAACCACAAAAGAGGTAGAGACTCAACAAGTGATGTATAATCAAAAAATATAGTTCAAAGTTAAGTGAATAATGGTCAAATTTAGTAATTAAATTGATAATATTAAATAAATAAATAACTGTGAGAAAAAGACTCAAAATAAACAAATTTAAACACATACATTTACAAATAAACGGATAAGGCGCTTAAGGAAAAAAAAAAAAAAAAAAAAAAAAAAAAAAAAAAAAAAAAA